TCTTTGCCCCAACAAAGATATCTTGATAGAATTGTATGGTTTACTCTATAGTTCCAGGAAGCCCATAGTTTATAAGTCCCCGGCTTCTATATAGGCTTCCTTGCCTTTACCACATTTAATCTTGTAAATAGTTTAGTTGGAATATTGTATATTATCTTTAATGTATTAATATTGTTCTTCTTGGTGTGGGCCCTCTTAATATCTCCACCTCTTCTGGGGCACCACCTCCCAAAGCAAACGGTGGGGGAGAAATGAATGCGTGACAAACGAACCCCAACGGACGTCTGCGGGGAGGCTAGTTTATGGCAAAGTAAAATGAATGAATGAATGAATGAATGAATGAATGAATGAATGAATGAATGAATGAATGAATGAATGAATGAATGAATGAATGAGTGAGTGAGTGAGTGAGTGAGTGAGTGAGTGAGTGAGTGAGTGAGTGAGTGAATGAATGAATGAATGAATGAATGAATGAATGAATGAATGAAGACGCAGTTATGGTGATCCCTCCTTTTTTTTTTCTTGTACCCAACTATCCTTGTTGTCGCCAGAAAACGCCAACGAAGAAGAGAGAAAGGAATTTATGGATGAAATCGAGCTCATGAAGAAGGTTGGAAAACATCAAAATGTTCTGAGTTTCTTTGGATGCTGGACCACAACTAAACCAATTCTACTCATGATAGAATACATCGCTCATGGAGATTTGCTGCATTGGCTTCGACATAAAAGAAGTCAGGTATTAAAAATAATTACCAAATGATAATGTATGCCTCTGTCCAGTTATAAGGTGACCTGGAAATGTGGTAAATAACGAAAGGAAAAGAAAAGTTCGCGCCGGCTCATGGTTTGCTTTCTGATGTTCTTACCGCATTTTTTTGTCTTCAGAGATGTGTAATTGAAGACGCGCAGCAAGACAGAATCTAGTATTTGATTTGGGCAATAATTAACGGAAGAAAAATATACAGTTTACGAACGGCAGTGGTTATAACTTGCAACTGCTGACTGGTGACTAAGAAACAATCGGCAATTCTCTAAGAAAATTTGCGAATACTATTCAATACTGTAAGTGCATTTACGTTATTATAGCTCTTATTTCCTCGAAGCAATAACTTTTCTTGGATTTTATATTATATAGATTACATTATAATTCATTTTCTTATACTCTCGCAGTTTCCCTTGTTATAAAAGCCTATTGTCACTGGCTGGTAGGGATCACGTGCATGAGTATACGTATCACAATTAAAACAAACGTATCTACCAATTTAGTAATATTCGCATGCGTGATAGAGTGAATAACAGCATGTGATCAATGAGGGAGAAAAGCACGTGATTAAAACTTTACAGAGTGGCTTGTCGTTTGAGTATGAGCACCTCGCAACTCACGCCAGGTTTACCATCTTAATCTTATATTAATGAGCATCGTCGCTCATTCTCGTCAAACAATGGTTGAAGCGCTTTCATAGCGCGTCTATGCATGATTGCCCGTAATATGACCTTGCAGGTCTACCCCCTTTGTGAAACGGGAAGTAAATGTCCCGAGAGCAATAAGCATTTGGCGCGATGATCTTCTTGAAAATGCAGCGGAACCTGAAGTTAAAAGGAAAAAGAAGGAAAGAAAGAAAAATTAACATGAATAGTTCGGGCAAAGGGAAAGTGAATTGGCTCCACAAATATTGATGGACTTATTACGTTGTAAGAGAGAAGCGCAGGTGGAGAGGAAATGGAAAAAACAGACACGAGGGCTGCCGAATATTATGTTTCAGAAATGGAACGAGATTGGCTATGAATTTGTCCGATAGAGTTGCAAAAGCAGAAAGAGGCTCTAGAACTCTGAGAGATCACATGAAGGAACAACATATGCTGTCTGAAATTGCAGAAAAAAGCAATCCTATTCAAGAAAGTGAATCTGGGAGAAAGAATGCAAAAGGATCCACTGCTATTGAGGGCGAAAGAAACTTTACAAATCAAGAGTCCCAACCCACAGGAGAGCAAAACAGAACGATGCTTAGAACAACAAGGCTATCAACGACGGATAATAATCAGAAATTCATTGAATCCTGTTCAACAAGGCTATGGAAGTGTACAATGAGATCTATGATGATAGATGGGACCTCAACAAAGTGGCCAGTGGTCAAAAAAGTGAGGAATGTTCCAGCAAATAAAGAACAAAAGATTTTAAATTAAGTACGAGACAGGCTAATTTATAAAAAGGTAGGCCGTACCGAAATGGAACCTGAAGAAAATCTATGCAAATTAAATTGTTTCACCTATTCAGTTGCCGTTGCTTGGCGACATGTGAACGATGACTATCAAAGAACCCCTTGGGGACGAAAGCAAATGCCAAGGAATGTGAAATGTGGAAAGGAAAATTTTGCAGGGAGACAGCTTTTATCAAAAGCTTCGGGAGAACACGAGGCTATACAAAAGCAATCAAAGATGACGAAAAGACGCGTGAAACGGCGGAAACAAATCAGCGCGAAATGTAAGACTCTTTTTGCTGAAGACCTAACAGAATTTATTAAAAAACTCAAACAATAATACAATAATACTCTTTAGAGAAACCTTATTTACTGCTAACATTCAATGTTACAGTATCAAAGCATCAAAATAAATAATGACAAGTGTCACATAAAACGCCATCAACATATTTGTCTTGCCGGTACTCACGTTCTTTATGCCAGTGCTTTACTTCTCTCACGAAGATCGTAGTGAGATTGATTTGAAAATTGGAAGTGAAACATCCCCAACACCTTAACACCTTGCTCTCCACATCCCGTTCAGTTGGTGGCCGCGGGCTCAAGGAAGTGACAAACATCGATCCACAAAGAAACCAAGAACAAGTCAGCTTTAAGTATCACCACATCGAAAGATCCGAAATTGCAGGCCGTTGTGCAATTCCAAGAAGGTAAGGATGTAGAAAGCTGAATATCAATGCTTAGATGCTAAGAAATGTGCTATGGACATGAATGAGGATGAGCTTTAAGTGGCAACCGATGATCCCAAACTTTCATTTGAAACAACAGAAGGGAGAACTTACACTGCCTCAGACCTCACAGCGCAAAAATGTTGCTGGCCAAAAAGATCCTGGATGATGTAAGACAAAAGTGGAGATCAGACGAGTGTAACCAGGCCTTCGCCGAAGGCGGACGTGTTCTTGCTAGCTCCTTTAGATGAAATTCAAAACTTGTAAAATAATGTAATCAACGAAGGCTGCTTGGCTTTCATTCGCTTAAATAACATGGGAAAAGAAGACGCCCGAGCCGATAGTCGTAAACGGTTAAGGGAAAGCGGCTCACAGACTGACGGGGAAGATGCGTTCGACGAAGCCGACGGCCATTGTCGTGGGGCTTTCGCCAAACTAGATGAAGTCAGTGAAAAGCTCGACAAAGTGCTAATAAGACTCGGCGAGTTAGAGGCTATGCAAGGTAGAGTGGCAGAATTGGAAAAAGAAAATAAAAGCCTACAAGAAAGCCTGAACACCGCTCAAGCCGATATCGACGACCTAAATTCGTCTTCAACCGCCACGTGTGCAACACTGGAAACCCACGCAAAGAATCTGGAAGACCTCAGTGCTAAAATAAAACATCTAGAGTGCCGCAACATCAAGTTAGAAGCATACACAAGACGTGAAAATCTAAAAGTGTTTAATATTCCAGAAGGAAGAGGTGAGTCAACTTCTGCTGAAGATCAATTGAAAAAAGTGATGCGCGATAAACTTAAGATCCCAGAGGAAGATATCGAACAGATCCGTTTCGAACGCGTTCACCGCATCCCTACTAAGAAGAATACCAGTCAAGGACAGAACTCCAAACCAAGGCCCATTATAGCTAAATTTAGCTTCTTTCAAGACAAGGAGTATGTTTGGTCTTTTGTTAAAAACTTGAAAAACACTAACATTTCAATCGCGAATGATTTCCCCCGGGAAATTGATGAAATACAGAAAACGTTATATCCCATCTTGAAAAAGGCCAAACAGAAAAAGCAAACAGCCTATTTCAAAGTTGATAAGCTAATTATAAACGGGCAAATCTACAGAGGTGAAGAAACAACCAATCTCCCATACTACGGTCTCATTATGGACACAAGAAACAGCGGAAACTAAAGCCAAAGCGGTCACAGCGCGACAGCACATCAATAGTTAAGTTTAGTTTAAGGTTTATGTGTGTAATAAGTGTTAAACTATTTAACCCTCCTTGTTTAATTAGAAATGTGAGTGCACTGGAAACTTCTTACTTGATATGTTACTGTATGTTTTTCTGTAGATTAATAATTTGTTTTAGGGCGAATATTATCGTTTATGTGCACTATATTTTCTTGCACTCTGCTATACCATCGATTTCATTTTCGTTTTATATGACTTCTTCTATAATACCACTTCCCCGATTCAGCTCTAATGACCGATCATTCTCTTAATCTACTATCTCTCAATGCGAGGGGACTAAGCAATTTCAGAAAAAGGCGAACAATTTTCACGTGGTGTCGAAAACGAAACTCGGATATAATATTCCTGCAAGAAACTCATTCGACATTGTCAACACAGTTAAAATGGAAAAACGAATGGGGTGCAGAACTTATTTGCTCCCATGGGAGCTCAAACTCTCGAGGTGTTGCAATCTTAATCAAAAAAGGTCTTGATTGCGTTATTCACTCTCAAATTGTAGATACATCGGGGAGGTATATCGTTGTTAAAGCCGCTATCAAAGATAAAATGTATGTTCTCGTAAACATTTATGCACCAAACAAAGACGAAGACATCATTAAATTCCTCAAAAATGTGTTATCTAAGCTGCAGACCGAAAATTTAGATTCAGAAGAAAATATTGTGATTGGAGGTGATTTCAATTGTCCTCTGAATCCTACACTGGACAAAAAAGGTGGCATAATGACGCCTAGGAAATCTGTGATAAATTTCATCAACGATGTCCAAAGTCAACTAGATCTTGTAGATATATGGAGAGTTAAAAACCCGCAAACTAAAAGTTTTACCTGGAGTCAACGATCTCCGCCGATATTTTGTCGCCTTGATTATTGGTTGATTTCTAACAATTTACATGACTGGGTCAAAGCCACAAATATAATCCCCGCCATCAGAACTGACCATTCTGCTATCTATTTAGAATTTGGGAACGTGGACAAAGAGGCTAAGGGTCCTGGGTTCTGGAAGATGAACACCTCCATATTGGAGGATGATGAGTACATTGATGACCTTACAAAAATGGTACCAATTTGGATCAAGGAAGGCCGAAAAGAACTTTCCGACCACCGTAACATTTGGGACTGGATAAAATATAACATAAGAGCTCATGCTATAAAATATTCCAAAAAGAAGGCAAAGGAGAGAAACGAAAGAGGATCAAAACTTGAAAAAGAATATACTGAAGCGAAACAGGTTTTCGAAACGAACCCCAATGATTCGAATGGCAACAATTTAAATGCGGCTAAGGATAAGCTCGAATCATTTTATGATGAAAAAGTCAACGGAATAATAATCCGTGCCCGAGCACGTTGGCATGAACACGGCGAGAAAAGTACCAAATATTTCCTAAACTTAGAAAAAAGAAATCATGTAAAAAAGCATATAAGGAAACTAGTAATCAGCGGCGTCGTAAAGACAGATCCCTATGACATTCTTCAAGAACAAAAACGTTTTTATCGAGAGTTATACAAAAGTTCAAATAGTGATGCGGAAAACCGTCAGAACATTGTAAAGTTTCTAGAGAATTTGAATATACCTCAATTAACCGAAGAACAAAAGTTGACCTGCGAAGGCAAAATTTCAGCTGAGGAATGTTACAATATCCTCGAAAGCTTTCAAACCAACAAAACTCCCGGGAATGACGGAATTCCTATAGAATTCTACAAAGTGTTCTGGCCTTTAATAAGCGATCCTTTTCTTAAATGCGTGAACGAAAGCTTTGAAAAAG